TCCTCCTCCTCCTCCTCCTCCTCCTCCTCCTCCTACTCCTCCTCCTCCTCACAAGCACCTTCGGGCATTTCTTTTCACTGCAGGGAGCGCCCCCCCTTCAGGACGAGCGCTCCCCAGGGACGCGCCATTCGAGTGAGACGCGCCCGTTCTGGAAGGGAACTGCCCTGCAATCGTGTGGCGCTTTGCTCGGGAGTGCGAACATGCAAGGGCATGAAGTGCAAGGAGTGTCCCTACTCTGGATGGCAGAATCATCGCCGCCCCCTTCGGACTCGGGGGGGGGGATGGGCGCGTGTCGTTCGGGGGGGAAGGAGATTGGGGGGAATGGCAGTTTTGAAACTCTAGTTCCTGGGCCAGGGGGGGTTGGCCAGCTGGCGTCGGCAGTCTCCGAGGGGGGGTGGGAATTGGGGGCGGGTGTGGGTTGGAGGGGGATGGGGGATAGGGCGCGGGGTGGAGGATCGGAATGGCCATGAACGTCAACGGCGGCGACGACGACGACGACGACGACGACGACGACGTCGACGACGACGTCGACGGCGGAGACGGCGACAACGACGACAACGACGGCGTCGTCGTCGTCCCCGTTCCCGTACTGGTCATCATTATTGTCCTTGTCCTTGCGCTCACCCTCGTAGCTGTCATCTGGATGTTGACTGTTCGTCGTCGTCGTCGCCATCTCCGCTTTCGCCGGGGGGATGAGGATGGATCTGGGGGGGGGATGGGGGGATGGTTTTTTAGGAGGGGGGATGGGGCTGCTGGGGGGGGGATGGAGAGGCCGCGTCGGGAGTATGTGGGTTGGGGAGTTCTGAAGGCGCGTTGAGGGACGGTGGGGGAGGATGGGAATGCTCCGTCGCAAGGTTAATCGCTCCTCCCGATCATTATGCCATCCGGAGTATAGAACCACCTTCCACACCTTGAAATGTCGCACGAGCTGAAGCTTGCGGGCGTAAGGATGTTGGGGGGCCTCAAGCGAGAGATCCATTCCGAAAAGGAACGGCCCTCCATTTCTGTGGCTTCTGCAACTGTTGAAGCCCCATCCGAGGCGGGGATCTATCCATATCCACCGCCTGGGACCGACGTTCCCGGTGCCCGAGCGGGCGGCGGGTATGGATGTGCTTGGGCCCCCGGAGGCGGCCCGAATGGATCCAGAGCCACCGCCTTTGGAGCTCAGCAAAGATCGATCCCCCAGGCGGTGGCTGTGGGCCCAGGGCCCAGACATGCGACATGGTTGTGGGCCCACACATGCGAAACACCTCACTAGTTCTCGCGGCTGGTTCTCGCGGCGCTCACTGGGGAGTACGCTGAGAACCACGACGGAGAAAACAGTCGCCGCAGGAAGCCTGAAGAGGGCTTCCTGGCGGCATCATCTTGCGCAGCCCTCGGCCGGGCCCGCGCGGTCGGTCGCCCCGGTGTTTTGTGTCGCGCCGAGAAGTGGGCCCAGACATGCGACGTCCTGATTTTTTCCATACGGGGCCCCTGGAAATCCCAACCCTTTCCCTGGGACCGGCTTTTCGTCCCGAGTCGTTTTGTCAACGGCCCCGAGGCCCGGCGAGGGCCCCCCGAGGCCGAACACGACCAATAACCGCCGACGTCCTGATATTTGTGTACGACGCGATCACGTCTGGGGGTGCCTCGCCTCGGAACTCCGGCCACCACAGACGGAGAGAGGTCTCTGGCGAGAGCCCCACTGCGAGAACGGGCGGCCCCCGATCCTGCTTCACACGAGGACCACGCGCGCGCGCCTCGCGCCAGCTTAGGCTTACGTCGTGCGTGTCCCCCTACAGGCGGATGTGGGGCGAAAAATTAGAAATACTCAAAAAATAGCCCAAATTACGCTACCGAGGAACCCCACATACTTATATTATGGCTGGAGTGATGATAGCTGAAGTGAAGCACGTGAGAATGATGTTGGTGGCCATTCCCTGCGCACCCCCTATGGTGTCGAGAAAGTGCCACGCCTGTTGCGCCCTGGACGACCGGCTCGGATAGCGGCCGCGCTCAGAGACCACCACCTGCGGACCCTCTACGGTTACGAGAATATGCCACGCCTGCTCCGCCCTGGACGACCAGCTCGGATAGCGGCCGCGCTCAGAAACCACGACCTGCAACCCTCCTATGGCGTCGAGAAAGTGCCACGCCTGCTCCGCCCTGGACGACCGGCTCGGATAGCGGCCGCGCTCAGAGACCACGCCCTGCGCCCCCCTATGGTGTTGAGAGTATGTTACGCCTGCTATGCCCGCGACGACCGGCTCGGATAACGGCCGCGCTCAGAGACCACCCCCTGCGCACCCCGTATGGCGTCGAGAATGTACCATGCCGGCTGTGCCCTGGACGACCGTCACGGACAGCAGCGCCCTGGACGACCGGCACGGATAGCGACCGCGCTCAGGGACCACCCCCTGCGCACCCCCCTTGGCGTCGGGAAAGTGCCACTCCTGCTATGCCCTGGACGACGGGCACGGATAGCGGCCGCGCTCAGGGACCACCTCCTGCGCACCCCCCATGGTGTCGAGAAAAAGCCACTCCTGCTATGTCCTGGACGACCAGGACGAATAGCGGTCGCGCTCAGGGACCACCTCCTGCGCACCCCCTATCATGTCGAGAAAGTGCCACTCCGGCCATGCCCTCCCTGGACGACCAGCACGGATAGCGGCCGCGCTCAAGGACCACCCCTTTCGCACCCCCCATGGTGTCGAAAGTGACACGCCTGCTACGCCCTGGACGACCGGCACGGATAGCGGCCGCGCTCAGTGACCACCCCTTGCGCACCCCCAATGGTGTCGAAAGTGCCACTCCTGCTATGCCCTGGACAACCGGCACGGATAGCGGCCGCGCTCAGGGACCAACCTGTTCGCACCCCCGTTGGTGTCGGGAAAGTGCCACGCCTGCTACGCCCTGGACGACCGGCACGGATAGCGGCCGCGCTCAGGGACCACCTCCTGCGCACCCCCTATGGTGTCGGGAAAGTGCCACTCCTGCCATGCCCTGGACGACCGGCACGGATAGCGACCGCGCTCAGGGACCACCCCGTGCGCAACCCCCGTGGTGTCGGGAAAGTGCCACGCCTGCTACGCCCAGGACGACCAGCACGGATAGCGGCCACGCTCAGGGACCACTTCGTGCGCACCCCCGATGGTGTCGAACATGCCACGCCTGCTAGGCGTTGCGACAGTGCCATCGACATACACCGCGTTCAGGGACCAACCCCAACGCACTCCCTCTGGTGTCGAGAAAGTGCCCTGCATGCCGTGCCCTGCGCATCCTACACGTGCGATTTGTGTATGGCGTGTGATGTGTATGCGTATGATGCGTGTGCGGCCCTCTCGGGACGTGTGCCTCATGTGGGTGCCCAATATGTTGTGCATACGTCTTGGGTGTATGATGCTATGAACACGCCAGGCGTGCACTAGCGTTGTATGGTGTATGTTGTGTGTGTGCGAGTGTGTGCATGCGTTCGGCTGCATGTAGACGCGTGTCTGATGCACGTGCAGTGCATGTGTTGCGTGTGGGTGTAGCGAAGAAGGACGAGGAGGAGGAGAAAGGGGTAGGCGGGAGGTGAGGAAGACGCGGGTGCGACGCGGGTGGGAAGAAAACCAGAACCCCACGAAACATGTGGGGAAATAGTGAACAGAAATGCTCAACAAAATCTTCCCTGCGCATTAATTGACTATTCTTGGATATCCCTCCTGTAGAGGGACAGGCCCGACTTAATGCTACACGAGGACCACGCCCGCGCGCTTCGCGCCAGGTTAGGCTCCAGTCTAAGACAGCTGTCTCATGCTCATCCCATCCCAGACAAGATCGCGTCGTAAAACAAAACAGGACGTCGGTGGTTTTTGACCGTTCTCGGCCCCTGGGAACCCTCTCCGGGCCTCGGGACTGTAAAAAAACAACTCAGGACGAAAAACTAGTCCCGGGGAAAGGGTCGGGATTTCCAGGGACCCCGTACAGAAAAAATCAAGACGCTGCATGTCTGGGATGCCCACGCTCGCTTTCATAGTCTCAGTCGTATTACTCCTCCTCGTCCTCCTCGTCATCATCGTTCTCCTCTCCCCGCTCTTCCACAGATTCGTCCTTCTCATCGGAGTCGCCCTCCTCTCTCACCCCCCCATCTTCTCTGACACACGTTGTTCGCACAGGCATATACAGAACACAAGAAAACTGTGATGCGGAAGCTGGGAAGGAGGTGCCGCGTCGCCGCCCGGTGCCGCCGGTGCCGCCTCGTTGCCGCCTCGTTGCCGCCTCGTTGGGGGTTCCGTCGAAGTTTCGTCGCGTCGCCGCTCGTTGCCGCCTTGTCCCACCCCGCTTGGGGGGTCCGTCGAGGTTGCACCACACGGCTTACATCACATAGCTTGGACCACGTAGATTGCATCACACAACGTACAGATCCACAGTGAAATAATTTACGGTCCAGGGTCCAGGCTGGCCAACACACATGTTCTCTTTCTGAAAACGTTTACAATTCTGGCAGGGGCGAAAGCCCTCCGGTCGTTACCCGCAAGGACTTTCTCCTGGACCCAAGGCGTGTAGAATAAATGCGTGCTGCTAGCACGGCCCCTTACGGGGCTTCTGAGGCTAAAAACGGCTGCGGAGTTTGGGAAGCCTTGCTGCAAACCCATCTCTCACGCCTGTGCTACACTGTGTATGCATCTACGTACGCAACTTACTCAGACTGATCTTCGCAAGATGCTCGAAGCAAGGTCGCATGCACCACTGGATTTCCTAAACGATGTTGCTGCAAGTGAGGAACAGGTCTGGTCTCAAACGCAACCCGCTTCTGGTCCCTGCAGACGGCCTGAGCTTGAGAAGGCGGACACAATGCGCCCACCGTTTTTGCGACAACTGGGGGGGGCCTGGGTAATGCGGGATGACGATTGATAAAATAATGGGAGAGAATGATTAAAAAATAGTTTTCTGCTATTTCTGCATGATTGTCTGACTGGAGGAGAACGAGTAAAAGAAATAGTATTTTCCAGTCCGCGGCCGGTTTTTTCTAATCGTCATCCCAGGCGCCGCCGCGTGAACACGACCCCTGGTCATTTATTAATCGTCATCCTCCATTAACAATAACGCTTGGGCGGGGTGGGGCACGTGTGCGCTGCGATCGCCACAGCATGCGCACGAGCACCAGCGCCTGGGAGAGCCCAGGCCGCGCCCTGCGTATACGATTGCCACCGCTGCGAGGAGGGGCGGGGGGGCGGAAAGACGGCCCTGGCAGAACCGCCATGCCGCCCTGGGCCGCCTCCCGACCGACTACCTACCAGACCACCCCAACCCAACCCAACCCGGAGACACGAATTTCGAGCTGGGGGAAGGTCCGGGCTTCACATGTGTTTCTTCCATGTTCCCCCGACCCCCCCCCGACTGGAAATGGAGCGCAAGTCGGGGACCTCGGGTTGGGTTGGGGTGGCCTGGTGGGCGGTGATTGACGGCCCCCAGACCCGGCGAGGGCCCAGAGAGGCCAAAAACGCCGACGAGCCGCCGCCTTGAGTTTCTCAGTGCACTAGAGCTCTAGGCACCACCACCGCGCGCGTCGGAGAGAGGGTCTCCCCGAGGCCGGGCAGTGAGCTTTTTTGCGCGCGCCGCGGCAGGCGCGTCCCCAGCCGGCGGCCGGTGTGGCCCTGCCCGCCTTCAAGACTGTGGCAGTTGCAGCACACGCCGCGCTAGGCGGCAATTCGCTGGCCCCTGGGGGCTCCTCGGCGCGTGAGATAATGAGGGGGAACGTGCGGGGGGGGGCTGTCTCAGGGGGGCCAGCAGGCCTCCAAGGAGCCCCCCAGAAGCCCCAGGAGGCCCCCAGGAGGCCTGAATATCAGGCCCCAGGAAGCTCCCCAAAGGCCCCCAGAGGCCTCAAGACATCCCCAGGATCGCTCCAGGAGGCTTCCCGCAGGCCTCCTGAGAGATCCCCACGGGCACGGGGCGGAGGAGGACGAGGCAGAGAAAGCAAGAAGTGATGCCGAAGGACGCCTTGTCGAGGCCCAGCGGGGGGGGGGGCGGGCGCGGCCAGCCGCTGGAGGACAAGGGCGCAACGGAGGCGGAGGTTCCTCCAGCAAGGCCTTCAAGGACGAGTTCAAGGGCGTGCACGCGGATCGAGGGCCTCGGGTGCCAAAGGGCCTGCCTGGGCGCACCTCGGATGGTATCCGAGATGCCTCTGACCTACAGCATAGGAACAGTGGCGGGATGGCCCGAAGTCCATCACACCCCTGCTTAGAGTGAAGAGAACTTCACGCTAAGACCATGGTTTCCGTTCCAAGCATTTCCTCAGACAGTAGTCCAGGTCCAGATATACAAAGCTTAAACGAACAACAACACATTCCAAGAAGACGCCCAGGTTCCAGTCCAGATTTCTGATTATCTTCAACTGTATATGGAGTCCATGAAAGTTGATGTTTTTCCTAAAGATTTCTGATGGGTGTAGATCACGAGGGGGGGCGTTAGCTGGGGGTACTGGCGTAGAGGGGAGAGCATCGACCTACAATCGGCAAAACATCGCCAAATACCCCCTGGGGAGTCGGACGGAACCTCCTGGGGCCGCAGATCGAAGTTATCCTGGCGAAGGATCCAACCATGTGCAATTGTGAGTGACGCGTTGTGGGCACCGTTTTCGGCGGAGCTCCCTATGGGACCACGAAGCGCGTGAGGGGCGTGCCCAAATCGGAGGGGAACCGCATGTGGACCGTGCTACTGGGGCCTTCGGTGGAGCTCCCTATAGGCTTAAGTCGGGCCTGTCCCCCTACAGGGGGATTTTCGACGATAAAATAAAAAATACTAAAAAAATATTCGAAACTTGCCCCCCCAAAAAAATACTCCAAAAATAGTCCCCTGACTATTTTTGGATCATTTTTGAATATTCCCCCTGTAGAGGGACAGGCCCGACTTGACTAGAGGGCCACGAACATGTGAACGATGTGCCAAAACGGGTGGGAAATCGCATGCGACCTGTGCCCGTGGAGCCTTCGGTGGAGCTCCCTGCGGATTCGCGTCAGAAGGCGAGCGGTGTGGCGCTCCGCACGTGGACTCTGGCCACTGGGACATCCGGTGAAGCTCCGCATGGGGCCGCCAGCTGTGTGAGGGGTGTGCCAACGTGGGTAGCGCGGACGCGTGCGAACGCAGCCACTGGGACCTTCGGTGGAGCTCCCTGTAGGGCCACGACTCGTTTGAGGGGGGTGCCGAAAGGGGCGGCGCGGACGCATGCGCACGCAGCCACTGGCACCGCCCGCCTGGCGAACAGTGACTCAAGCCAACGGGGAACAGCGAAAAAGGACCGGCGAACGGGGACCGGCGAACGGGGACTGGCGAACAGGGACCGGCGAACGGGGACCGGCGAACGGGGACTGGCGAACAGGGACCCGCGAACGGGGACCGGCGAACGGGGACCAGCGAACGGGGACTCTGGCGAACGGGGACCGGCGAACAGGGACTGGCGAACATGGATTCCGGCGAACAGGTCCTGTATCCCCCAAGTCGGCCCAAGAGGCCCCCAAGAGGCCCCTGGAGGCTCCACAGAGGACCCTACAAGGCCCCACGGGCCTTCGCCCCCAAGAAACCCCCAAGCGGTCCCAAGGAGCCACCGAGAGGCCCACGGAATTGTATACGGATGGCGCGTTCTTGTTATGCTCACGTTGCCTGGTGCTGACACACGGTGCACGCTTCTTACCCTCGTGGACATTCGCACGCTCCTCCCAGCGCTGAAACGGGGGGTGGGCGCATCCGCCCCCTGTGGCGCTGCCAGCGCCCAGGGCGGGCAGAACGACACGGCAGAACAGCGCGGCTGACGAGCAGGGCAAGCCACCAAAAGCCCAGTCTTTACGTGCTCCGGACGTACACCCCGCGAAGCGAGTTGAATCAAAATATTGCACGATCAGCGGACTCTGCGCATGTCTCCACCCGACGTAGCACCTCCATGGCTGCCACTGCCCTCGCCCTCCA